CATCGAGTCCAAGCCCCTGCCAAGCAGGAAACACCATCAGAGCACTCCTGACATATGGTTGTCAAGCCTCTGCTTAAAGACCTCCAAAGAAGGAGACTCCACCACACTCCTTGGCAGCAAATTCCACTGTCAAACAGCTCTTACTGTCAGGAAGAGACCTTTGGAAGGCTAGGAAGACCTCTCCCTGCAAGTCGAAGGCTGCAGGCTTACTTACAGCAGTAAGGCCCACTGATATTGACGGGGAGCTCGTCTGAGTAAATAAGCTCAGAATTACTATGCATCTCCTATCCTGGGGATGGGGAGGTTGTGGTCCTCCAGATGGTGTTAGTCTCCAACTCCCATCAGCCCCGCCAAAGGTCAGAAATGGTTATTTATTTATTTCATAAAAATTATACACCGCTTGACTGTTCACAACCATACTTTAAAATGCTAAAACAGACTAAAATCACCTCAGCTTTTCAGGATGGCGGCTAGTTTTCTTTTGGGAAGAAGAGAAGGCATGGAGTGATCAGACTATGCAGCACAAATTGAAATTTTTGGGAATCTCCGGAGGGAGGGAGAAGCCCCAAGTTGTTTAACTGAACGTTAAATCTGGAATGTTGCTGGATTATTATTTTACAAAATTCTATGAATAAAATTAAACAAACAAATGTACCTCAACTTTCTTAAGAGTTTGGGTGGGCAAGTCTAAACAAGAACATTTTTAGCAGGCACCAAAACGAGTACAGGGAAGGCACCTGCTTGATGACTGGAGCTGTGGCCCAGCAACTTCTGGACCAGGGTGGTTCAACATGCAGCCCAAGGGCCACTTGCGGCCCCCGAAGCCTTTTTGGGGAGGCCCTCAGCAACATTTGACGCTGCACTGGGTTTTGGGAAGGAGGCATAAGGGCCCTGCCAGGATCCTAGTGTCCTCCCTCCTCCTTCCCAAAGCCTAGTTTGTGCTTGAGAGCCAGTGTGGTGTAGTGGTTAAGAGCGATGGACTCGTAATCTGGGGAACCGGGTTCGTTCCCCGCTCCTCCACATGCAGCTGCTGGGTGACCTTGGGCCAGTCACACTTCTTTGGAGTCTCTCAGCCCCACTCACCTCACAGAGTGTTTGTTGTGGGGGAGGAAGGGAAAGGAGAATGTTAGCCGCTTTGAGACTCCTGAAGGGGAGTGAAAGGCGGGATATCAAATCCAAACTCTTCTTCTTCTTCTTTCCCAGCTTTGGGAAGGACCCTGCCACCGCCAGGCACTTCCTTCCTGAAGCCCAGCGCCTCACTTTGCATCAGGGTCTGGCTGCACTGACTCACACAAAACGCAGACGTCAAAGCACAGACATTTCTCTCCGCTGTCTCATCCATAAACCAAACTATCGAGATCCCAAGTGACAAAAGAGCTGGCTCTAATGACTGGTGTTAAAAGCCTTATGGGGACCTCTGCCCTTGAAAGATGCCGCCAAAACTTAGAGAAGAGGTGCTTAACTTAAAAGTTAATTAGGGTAGCAATCAGCTTAATACTTTACTGAACACACTTTGGCACAGGCCTATAGGCTGGCCCCACGCACGCCCTTCCTTCCAGAAAGGGGAAGGACTCTTAACTCTGCTGCTTCGTATGCAGAAGGTTCAAGGTTCAAGCCCTGGCATTTCCAAAGAGAGCAGTAAAAGGCGCTGGATGAAATCCCAGACAGCCCCTGACAGGCTTCACTTGCCTTCCTCGCCTTGGCGCCCTCCAGATATTTTATTATTTGTATCTAGCCTTTTCTCCAAGGAGCTCAGGGTGGGCACATATGGTTCTCCCTCCCCTCATTCAATTCCCCACAACAGCCCTGTGAGGTAGGCTAGGCTGAGAGGCAGTGAGTGGTCCAAGGTCACCCAGTGAGCTTCATGGCTGAGTGGGGATTCGAACCCTGGACTCCTGAGTCCTAGGTTCCAACACTCTTAACTGCTGCACCACTTCTGGCTCTCCAGTTTGTAGATGTACAAACCCTGATGTAGGTTTGGGCTACAGCCAGCATTGGAGTTCTAGTCCCAAACATTTGGAGGATGCCAGAAGAAGAAGAAGAAAAGTTTGGATTTGATATCCTGCTCTATCACTACCCTAAGGAGTCTCAAAGCGGCTAACATTCTCCTTTCCCTTCCTCCCCTACAACAAACACTCTGTGAGGTGAGTGGGGCTGAGAGACTTCAGAGAAGTGTGACTGGCCCAAGGTCACCCAGCAGCTGCATGTGGAGGAGCGGAGACGCGAACCCGGTTCACCAGATTACGAGTCCATCGCTCTTAACCACTACACCACACTGGCTGTCTCACATTGCTAAGCTGAAGAAGGCTGTTGTAGACAAATTCTTCCTTAAAAATAAGATTTTACTAAAGCTTTTTTCACAGAAATATAAAGTAAAGAAAGAGAAAATACAATCCTACTCTCTCAAAAGGTAGTTCTTAACCCTTGTCTCACACAGAAATTAGAAGATCCTCCCCACTCTCACATGGGAGATTTTTTTCTCCCAGTCAGGGGACACACAAATACTGAGCTGGGTGGACCAATGGTCTGATTCTGCATACAGGCCACTACCTACATACTAATCACTTGGAGGAAGACCACCGCCATGTTCACAAGGACATAAAGCCCTGGCTCTTAGGTCTCATGAAACAGCACGTAAAGCCTGTTTCTTCAATGCGCTACTTCAAACTGCAGGTGGAGGGAAGCTGCTTACTGTCCTCCATATAGAATAACTTTCTGCATGCAGAAGAGCAGTGAAGAAGATGACAGAGGTCTGGTCTAGCCCAGCTGACTTCCCAGCATGTTAGTTTTATTGCTGTTAGATTGATGTGTAGGGAATGTTTCTTGCATGGTGGAGAATTCAATCATGCAAGCCTCCAGCTGCAGTTTTAAGAGGAACCATCCGGACCAGGGGCTGGCAAATTCTAACTAACCAAAAAGGACACCTCCCCCCACCTTCCAAAGGACAAGATGCCCCTTTTATTAAGGGGGAAAGTGTAGTTCGGTGGTGGAGCATCTGCTTTGCACGCAGAAGGTTCTGGGTTCAAGCCCCAACATCTTCAGGTATGGCTGGGAGAGAACCCCGTCTGAATAGCTTGGGAATCTGCCTGCCAGTCCAGACAATACTGAGCTAAATGGACCACGGGTCTGACTCGCTATAAGGCAGCTCCCTAGGTTCCTATGTCTGGAATGTAGAACAGGATCAGAGAAAAATCTGTTCCTTCTTTTCAGCTCCAGGCCCTGAGCCTATAAACCCAGAGTGAAGGTGATGGACCTCTTCGGCTTGCACCTGAAAAGCCAGGAGGGGGAATGGAGGCGCATCAGATTGCTCTGCCTGCCTGCACTCCTTAGGCACACTGGTTGCTCTGTCTCTGCACGCAATGATGGGTGCTCTCTGAGCTCAGAAGCCCTGCTGGCACAGAGCAAAACCCACACGGCTCCACTTCCCTTTTCTAGCTCCAAGGTGATGCAGGGAGGTGGAAGCATACTGGTTTACTGTGCACCAATGGATGCTCCTTGGGCATTCAGAGGATCTGAGCTGAAGGCGAGAGGCAGAGGCACTTCAGCTCACCTTGGGAGAAACAGGCTTTAGGTTGGTCATTTAGTGCTATGCAGTTAAGACGGTGTGCCTAGGAGGCCAAGATAGGAGTCAGTAAAAGTCCCTAGTTCAAATGCCACCTCTTTCATCAACTTAACTGGACGGCCACAGTCAAGCCACTACAGTGGTACCTCGGGTTACATATGCTTCAGGTTACAGACTCTGCTAATCCAGAAATAGTGCTTCAGATTAAGAACTTTGCTTCAGGATAAGAACAGAAATTGTGCTCCGGCAGCGTGGCGGCAGCAGGAGGTCCCATTAGCTAAAGTCTGTTTCAGGTTAAGAACAGTTTCAGGTTAAGAATGGACCTCCGGAACGAATTAAGTACTTAACCCGAGGTACCACTGTATCCCCTCACCAACTCGCAGTGTGGGAGTCTGGGGTGTCACAAGAATGGCTGAGATCATGTTTGCAAAGAAAGAGCATGTCTGCTGGCACAGGGCTGGTGCTCAGAAGCCATTTCTGATCATTTGAGTTCATCATGAGTTTGTATTGTCTGCTGAATGTGTTTGCTTTTGCTTTGTAAGCTCTTGTGTTTTCGATAGGATTATGACCGGTTGAAATGTTTGCTATTTTTTAATGCTTTTGTTGTTACTGAGCCACTTTGAGCGCAGCACCGCTGTTGGAAAATCGGTATACAAATATTTAAAAATTTAAAATATCAAAAAGTGCTTGGAATACACTGAAGCGGTATAGAAACACCAGTTATTGTGGGTTTCGCCCTGCAGATGCATGAAAACAGTGGGTACTGGCTGCTTTCATAGAAGTACAGGAACTTGACCCAGGACATGTAAATCCGAGCGCAAGTGATTTAAGGAAAAACACCAAATACACATACGCACCCTACCATCTAGTGCAGGGGTCTGCAACCTTTAAGACAAAAAGAGCCACTTGGACCCGTTTCCGAAGAAAAAAAAACTGGGAGCCGCAAAACTCGTCATTGTAAAAATAACTTTTTTGTCACTTTTTTATTATTGTTTGACCCCTCAGAATTACTCCTCCTCATAGAAATAAATGTTAAATTAACAAGTTACCTTTGTGTGTGTGTTCTTCACTCCCCTTCAAAACAGCGACCAACGTACACGCCCCCTTTCAATGCAGTGACCAGCGTACATGCCCCTTACAATGTAGCGGGCGGGCGGGAAGGTGACGTCGGGACGGTGCGTGACTAACGCACGCACCGTCCCTTAATGCGACGTCACAGCCAGTACAGCGCCCGCCACAGTGGGGAGTGTCGGGGAGCACAATGCACCTCCTCCCCTCGCTAGTATCCGTCCTGGAGCCGTGGCAAAGGTGTAAAAGAGCCACATGCGGCTCCGGAGCCGTGGGTTGCTGACCCCTGATCTAGTGTGATACACACACACACACACACACACACACACAGGATGATAACGCGGCAGTTCTAGAGCAGTCGAGATCTCACCTGAACAAGACTCCTTTGATGACCTGCCAAGCATTTGGAGCTTGCTGTTGGGGCTGGTTCTGCTGCTGGGTCTCGGCAACCGCTTCACCTCCCCCTGCAGTTCCATTGCTGGTCACTTGCTGTAAAGGTGGGGGGAAAAACGGGGAGATGGAAATCAGCAAAAGTCGTTTGTCATAAGAAACCAAGAGGTTCAAACTCTTCTTTTTTTAAAAAAAAGAGACACTTTTGCGGAAGCCCCCCCCTCCTCTTGGGACAGGAATGAGTTCAGCTTCCCGGAAAACAAGATTCTTAATTAGATGCAAAGTGCTGTACAACAATGAGCTGGGGTGGCACGGTGGAGGAGAGCTTGAAATCTGGTTTTAATAACCCCCATTTCAAATCTCAACTCAGCCGTAAGTTCGTAAGGCGCCATCCTTCAGCCTTGGTCTGCCAGCTGAAATATAGGGATAACAGCAACAGGGTAAGGAGAGCCCAGCTGCATCAAGGCCGTCGAACTCATCAACGTTTCCAGCAGCAGCCAGGCAGATGCTTCCAGGAAGCCACAAGCAGGCCATGAATTACAGTATTATTTTTATTTTCTTTGTATTTAAGCAATTTATATACTGCTTAACTATAGTTATCACTAGGAGGTTGGCAAGGATACAGTACAAAAAGTAGAAAGTTAAACTATAAAATCAAGCTTTGGTTGAAATGTCTGCTTGAATTTTCAAAAGTCTTCAGTCCTTGCCTGCTATAAGTTAATTCTGCCCTATGTTTTTTCCATCTGTCCTGAATTGACTACCATCTATTTCATCTACCATTTAGTTCTAGTATTACGGGATGGGAAGGAAAATTTATCTGTCCTCCCCCTTCCCCATTCATAAACATCTCTCATTGCCCCATTGTTTTTCTGAACAAGGAAGCCACAAATAATTTGGTCTTTTCTGAAACAACAAAGGCCCGTCAACCCCGTGATCATTTTGGCTTTCCTTACCTGCACTTCTTCCATTTCTCCAATATGTCTTTTGAGATTTTTTTTTGGTGTGTGTGTGTGTGTGTGTGTGTGTGAGAGAGAGAGAGAGAGAGAGAACTGTATGCAATATTCCAAAGGTGGGCTCAGCATCTTTTTATAGAAGGCATTAAGCAGTGGCTATTTTGTTCCCCATCCATTCTTGAGTTTGCTATTTTACCACAACCTCACCCTGTTGACATTTTCATTAAGTTATCAACAATGACCCCCTCCCCCAAGATATATTAATAGATAGTCACAGACACTTTTAGATACCCCATGTTTTTATGTGGTTAAGATTTTCTACCTGTGGGTGCCTCACTTTACATTCACTTAAGAGAAAATCTCATTTGTCATTTCATTCCTATTTACCTAGTTGCAGAGACGCTTTTGGGACTCTCTGCAGGCTGCTTGGGTTTTTCCTATTCTGGTTATTCATCAATTGTCATTTATTTCATTGTATTTAGAAAGCTGGGGTTCAACTAAATGCAGGCAAGCGCCACATAAAAAGCAACCAATAATCTGCAGACTTGACTACAGGATCATTTATAAATGTTAAATAGTACCAGTCTTAATACAGATCCCATTGTTTATTAACCTCCGCTATAAAAACTATGCAGTTACTTTCCTATGGTCCAGAACCTAATCTTTAATCAGCTGCCGATGCAAAAAAGAATTTGCCCTCTTACTTCATCGCTGCTAAATTTATGTAGGACCTTTTAATTAAGGCTTGTGTTAAAAGCAACTTGTCAATCTATATACTAGCCCCAACCAGTTTTCACTAGCTTATCTTACAGAGTTGTACTAAGAATTACTGAAACAACATATGCAAAGTTCCTTGAGTACTTAGGGGAAAACACATAATCACTATTTCTTATTAGGATCTGATCTGAGGGAAAGGCATACATGATTTATGTTATTCAAATTTGCCCAGAAGAAAAGCACCTCATCACTATTAATCCAATTTTTCAGATGAGAAACTCAATTCATGTTCCCAGTCTCTCCCTACAGGCATGCAGGGTCAGTAAAGTAAGCCCATGACATTAAGTGAATATTTAAGCCAGCAAATTCTTTTCGGTACTACATTTGAATTTAAAAACAAATCAAATTATCATCTCAGTTCTTCACTCTTAAAGTACCCCAATCCATGTTGGGCAAAAGATTCCTGTATTGTTATTGAGTATTTAAAGAACAATTATAGCAAGATGAAAAAAACGAGCAGGGTTTGAAATATGAGCAACAGTGTGAATAAGATAAATAGGTTAAATTTAATGTATTGAATAGTATAGGTGAAATATGTAGCATATAAGGGTAAATATGGAGACCATGGAAGGGGAGGACAGAAAGTCAATTGATAAAGTAACATGGTTTATGTTAAAATTTGCATATCTTTTTTCTTTGTGAAAAATTAATAAATAAGATCTGCTTTTAAAAAAACAATTCCTGTATTGCAGGGGGTTGGACTAGATCAGTGTTCCCCAACCTTGGGCCTCCAGCTGTTTTTGGACTACAACTCCCATAATCCCTAGCTAGCAAGACCAGTGGTCAGGGATGATGGGAACTGTAGTCCAAAAACAGCTGGAGGCCCAAGGTTGGGGAACACTGGACTAGATGACCCTTGGGTTCCCTTCCAACTCTACAATTCTATGATTCAATCTCCTTTCAGGAAAATAATGGTTGAGGGCCAAAATATGAGCCTCTTCATCCACATTCAACATTGTTGAGATAATTAAGGCTTTGATTCTGGATTCAAGTTTATTTTTAGATCATTTATTTAAAATGGCAGATTATATGTGACAGATTTCATCACAAGGATATTATGTAAAATTATAGATGGTAAAAGAGGGTGGGGATAAAGGGGAAGTAGCAAGAATGATCCAAGTGGTAAATGTACCTGGGGAATCCCAAGGTGAGGCGTGGGGAGGACACTAAAAGGTAACACTGCTTTTAACACATGGATGGCAGCCAAACAAAAGGATTGCGGGCCCTGTGTGGGCTGTTTCCCAGCAAACGGTGGAAAAACAAGGTGTGGAATGGGAATTCCCGTGCCCCCCCCATCCTCTCACCGCAAGCACCTGTAGCCAACAACACTCTGAGCACTGTTACCTAAGCTTCTGATAGCTAGAGCTTACTTCCCTAAATTATAATTGGAGACACACCTGAAGTGGTTTGCTTTGAGAAAATGAAAGTGTTAAGCATTTCCCATACTTGGAAGAGCTCGCCTGTGTTTGAGACAAGTCACTGTTCTACAAGTGCTTCTTCTCAATGTAAGCTCAGAGCAGTAACTCACACAGAGATGCAACGGACAGACTCCCTTCATCTCTGCATCAGGAGCAACTGAATGATCCAATCACATCCAATGTTGAGATGGGCCACAAATGTCCTTCCCCAGGAAGGAGTGGATGTAAGTAAGGGTAGAGCAAAGAATCACGCAGGTACCCAGCAAGCACTATGGGCTGAGTGCTTTGAGCTGATGGCAAATTATAACGATTCTATTTATTTATTACATCTCACAGCACACAAATGTGTCACAGCAATCTGTGCAGGAATTACTGACTTTGAGTGAGATGAGACTCCATACAGGGGAAAAATAAGCTGTTTCATCTAGAATAGGTAGTAGATGAGAGAGCACTGCTGTCTAGAATGAGACAAATTTTGCGCAGACTGTGTGTAATATTCACAGAATCAACAGACAATTGGGGAGAGGAGAGATCATGATGTCAAGTTTCCCCATGAAAGCCAGGTGCTTGTTGGTGGGAAAAGAGTCTCCTTACAGATAAAAGAGGACAATACCTGCAAAAGCAGATTAGATGCAGTTAAGGGGAAGCATCTAACAGATGAAAAAGTTAACTGCATGCTGCATACAGAAAGCTCTAAGAATCAGATGGGGAAATTTAACTTAGGAGGAGGACAGAGGAGGGGGAAAAAATCAGTTCCTTAGTAGGGAACCCAAAGACAAATTCCTCAAAAAAGAGAAACAATTCCTGAAGTAGGAAGCTCTGAAATTAGTGATGTTGAAAGGAATGGCAGGCGAACTCTTAGCCTAGATGGAGAAAACAGAGTGGCACCTGTAAATTTCAGGGAGAAAAAGCTTTTGACAGCACAGTCAAGGAGATTGGGGAAGAGGAACCATGGTCTGAAACTGGAAGAAACATGAAAGTCAGTTGGAGACAAGAGAGGAAACCAGCCAAGAAAAAGCAGAGCACAGTGAGAAATGTAGACTGTCATAAAGGATGGGGGGCAAGGGCCAAGAGAGCTATCTGGGTCAGAACTTGTTGGTTATTTATGGGGGATAAAGGCAGGAGCAATTTGCTAATGAGACCAATTAGGAGCGGAAAGATAACTACCCAGAGGGGTTACAGATAGGTAGCCGTGTTGGTCTGCCATAGTCAAAACAAAACAATTCCTTCCAGTAGCACCTTAAAGACCAAGTTAGTTCTTGGTATGAGCTTTCGTGTGCATGCACACTTCTTCAGATACCCAGAGGGGGACATTGAGATGAAAGTGATTCATTGGTATACACCTGAGAAATCAGATCTATCTAACAAGGGAGTCAGGCGAGAATTTCTAAGTCAAGGGAACAAGATGGATGCCAGATCAAAAGGGTGGAGGTGTACCCAAGAGAAGTGGGGTGTTGAGGCTGAAGCAACACTGTGTGACACATCCAAGAAGGAAGGAGTGGCTAGTGTGGGACATTGAACGGAGAGACAAATGGGTGACTGCTCATTTAATCATAAAGTTCACTGCATGGTTTCCATGAGGCAATTTGGGCAACCCGTTTTACTACAAATTGTGCCTGACAAGCGGCAAAAGCTTCCTTCCTGAAGCAAATATATACAAACGATGAAACTACAGGTGAACCAGGTCCCCAAGAATTAAGGATTTATACACCTTTCAGGTATAGAAGTGTGGCAAGATGCAGGGTAGAAACTGCCACTTGCGCAACTATACAGCATGATGAAACCCAGGCTCATATTCTGGGGATTTGTATGCAGGTCCAGTTTCACCCTGTAGCTTCTAGGAAATAGTCCTGTCTGCGACTCTACAGCCTGTCAGTATAAAGAATACTGAGCTGATGGACTAAGCGTCTGAGTTGGAATGTCGTCTTGCTATGTTCTTATGCTTTCTATATTTAAGCTAGCATCCACACTAGGCCATGAGGCTCCTTCAGGAATTCAGGGCCAGTCGCTACTGCTTAACCTAACCTACCTCACAGAGCTGTTGCGAAGGTAAAACTCCGTATTTGCGAGCAAGAACCACACATGCCACTTTGTCTCCTTAAAGGAAAAGCAGGTTATAAATGAACCTGACGTGATTCGGGTTACCAAACGCACCAGGAGTGATTTTTACCACTTCAGAACATCCTTCCGCCACCTTGGGTGCCGGACGTTGTCGGACTACAAATCCCATCGTTCCCAGGCGACGTGGCCGGTCAGGGCTGATGGGGAGCTGTAGTTCAAGAACATCTGGCGACCCTCAAGGTTGAGAAGGGGCCCTTTCAGAAGCTGACTTGCGCCTGGTCGGACCACTGGCCCATGCAGCTCAGTACCGCCTACACGGGCTGGCAGCACCTCTCCGAGGTCTCGGGGCAGGTGCATTTCCCAGACCTACCTGGAGGTGCCAGAGACTGAACTTGGGGACTCTCTGCGGAGAGGCGTGCTATAACCACAGGGTTGCGATCCTTGCTCGCTCGTGCCATAAGCCTCTCTGATCCCTGCTGAGAATAAAACGGGGGCTGGGCGTGTGTGGACCCCTCCTCCCCACCCCAAAAAACAACCCCACCCCTGGCGTCTTGGGAGGAAAAATGCAGGCGATAATAATAAATAAAAAACAGCAGATATATATATATATGAGTGAGATAAATAAGAAAAGGAGCTGACCTGGAGAAGGGGCATGGTGGGCAATCGCCCCGGGAGGCCAATTAATTTTTTTTTTCTGGGGTAGGGAGAAGGGCGTCACGTGACTGGCGAGAGGGGCGGGGTTGGGGCATGAGGGGACCTAACCCCCCTCTCCTCGCCCGCGGGAGGGGCAAAAGGAGGGCGGCGGGAGGGGCAACTGCCCCCCCGCAGGGAAAGGAGAGCCGCTGAGCGGCAGCTCCCGCGAGGGGGGCGACGGAGAAAGGGGCTCTGCGGCCGCTACCTGTTCAGGGCCGGACGCGGGACCCGCCGCCGCCACCACCTCCGTCTCCGGCGCCGCCATCTTGCTGCGCCGTTGCCTGGTGCAGCTCTCGCGAGAGTTCTTCCTAAGTCCCGCTTTGCTCCCGCCCGCCCTCTCCCTCTCTCTCTCTGGCCCACGTGACCTCCTCCCCTCTAAACTCCGTCTGGGCGGAGCGCCTTCTGGTTACCGTATATTCGCGAGCGGCTCCGCAGCCGGGGAGTGCCGAGTGCCTGCGAGGGAGGCAGATCCTGGTTTGTTGACCCCGGAGGAATTAATCCGAATTAACTGCTGCTGCTGCCGCCTCCCGCTTTTTGCATCTTTACCACATGTTGCAGACTTACATGTGAGGGGAAGCTAAATGCTAATAACGTGCCATAGTTTGCGAAATAATAAATTCGCATTTAAGGTGTTGCATAACTCTTCGCTTTTTCCCCATAGATAAGATTTTCCGAATGATTGAATGACTATATGTTGTGTTTTTCAGTGTTGCTTTTTTTTTTTGGTCGGGCTTGTATCCCTGAAGGCCATTGTAAAACAGCGTATAAATGCTCATTACAATAATAATAAGGATTCAAGAGAAGGAAACCCACCGCAGATTACGCCAGATGAAATAATCTGAAATTGGCTGTACCAAATGGTGGCATGCTCCCTAATTCAAGAAAATAATCATTCCCTTTTAAAAAAACAAATTAGTCCAAAATAACCACCATATCTTCAGAACTCACAACCACAATGGGGCAGCGTTCAAATCTCTTTCCAAATATGGACTGAAACAGTAGAAAGTGGGAAAAATTCATTTCTTTCTCTTTTTACAGCTTTACAGTATGCTTTGCATTTCAAAGGATTATTGTGTTTTGTTTGTTTGCATTTGAGAACAATAGATAGGACAATATTCTTTAGTAAGTTATGGTATCAATGGGCAGAATCTACTATTAGGGCCCTATCCAGACATCCTATTCATTGTGCATTCATGTTGGTTCATGCTCATGAGGCTATTAATATTGGTTTACTGTATTTCATAAATCTTACACACTGCTTGATTGTAATAAAAACAACAACCTCCAAGCGTTTTACAAAAAGATAAAACAATAAAATCAGGGGGGAAATACAACCATACAGTGGCGTAGCTTGGGGGGTGCAGGGGGGGCCAGCCGCACCGGGCACAACATCTGGGGTTAGGGCAAATCCACGGGTTAGGGGGCGCAAATCCACGGGTTAGGGGGCGCAAATCCACGGGTTAGGGGGCGCAAATTACTTGCCTTGCCCCGGGTGCTGACAACCCACGCTACGCCACTGCAACCATACTTTAAAACATGCAAAAGTTAAAATACTGAAGCAGATGAAAAGCACCTCAATTTTCTAAGCATCTGTTTGCTTCTCTGTAATGTTTTTAGCAGGCACTGAAGAGTACAGTGGAGATGCCTGGTTTATATTGATAGGCAGGGAGTTCCAATACTGTTTTCACCTGCGAACGTTTCGTGCAGACGTTCTGCTTTGTTTCCAGTTGGTGCACGTTCCGTAGCTTCCTGCTGCAATTCACTTTATATACCATGAATGTTCTGTTGGTGGTGGTGGTGTTTGTCCCACTTTTGTTGCCAGCGAAGCCAAACCCAGTGAACCGGCAGTGCTAACTAATTCTGGTTTTGTCCCCATCTTCCTCCCTGCTGAGTTCTACCAGGGCAACCCTGAGAGAGACATCTGCACACACATCATACATTTAAAACAAGAACCCTGGGAATTGTAGTTTGGTTACAGGTACTGGGAACTGAGGCCGTGGGTGGCGCTGTGGGTTAAACCACAGAGCCTAGGACTTGCCGATCAGAAGGTCGGCGGTTCGAATCCCCGCGACGGGGTGAGCTCCTGTTGCTCGGTCCCTGCTCCTGCCAACCTAGCAGTTCGAAAGCACATCAAAGTGCAAGTAGATAAATAGGTACCGCTCCAGCAGGAAGGTAAACGGCGTTTCCGTGCGCTGCTCTGGTTCGCCAGAAGCGGCTTAGTCATGCTGGCCACATGACCCTGAAGCTGTACGCCGGCTCCCTCGGCCAGTAAAGCGAGATGAGTGCCGCAACCCCAGAGTCGGTCACGACTGGACCTAATGGTCAGGGGTCCCTTTGTTGTTGTTGTTTAGTCATGTCCGACTCTTCGTGACCCCATGGACCAGAGCACGCCAGGCACTCCTGTCTTCCACTGCCTCCCGCAGTTTGGTCAAACTCATGCTGGTAGCTTCGAGAACAATGTCCAACCATCTCGTCCTCAGTTGTCCCCTTCTCCTTGTGCCCTCCATCTTTCCCAACATCCGGGTCTTTTCCAGGGACCCTTCTCTTCCACTCCAGTATCCCTGCCAAGAAAACTCCATGGACAAATACAACAGGCATATAAAAAAACAGGGTATCCCTTTACCTTTACCTTTACCTTTACCTTTACCTTTACTGGGAATTGAAGCTCTGTGAAGGGTAAGCTACAGTTCCCAGGATTGTTGGTGCGGATGTGCTTTAAATCTATGGTGTTTGTGGATAAGGATGATGAAGATGATGATTTTAGAGTGTTGTTTGTGCTGTACCTTTGTACTGTTTTATTGTTAAAATAAAAAAATTCCTTCCCGTAGCACCTTAAAGACCAACTAAGTTATTATTGTTGTTAGCCGCCCTGAGCCCGGCTTCGGCTGGGGAGTGCGGGATATAAATAAAATTATTTTATTATTATTATTATTATTATTATTATTATTCTCCCTCCATAGGAAGGCAGGCAGGGGAGGACTGGGGGGGCAGGTGCCCCATTCACTCTGATGAACCAGCCTCCGTGGACAGATGTTAAAGTCAAATGTGGACCATCAAGCTGAGCTCCGGTCACAGTGCTCTCTTTCTGGCAGTTTGTGTTTCTTGAAACCACATGGCTGATCAGCTTGGCCAATAACTTTTTTCTTTCTTTCTTTTTTTTTGGAAGTGGGAGCTTCCGGTGCCAAAAGACCAAGGAGGGGAAAGGGGCTGTGTGTTCCGGTCATGACAGCCCTCCTTTCTTTTCCTGGAATTGGAAATCCTTCCTGATTCCCCCCCCATCCCTTTCCTCTTCAAAAGAAATGAGCCTGGAAACCCCGAAACCGAAAGCTGAACCTGGTGCTGGGGGAAAGATGCTGCAGGAGAAGGAGGATGCAAATTTGCCCAGGGAGAACTCTTCCAACCTCAGCCTTGCCTTGAGGATTTGGGGCAGTTTGGAGAAGGCACACAGCTAAAAGGAGAGCTGGGTAAGGGGCCGCTGAACTCCCTACAGGGTTCGATTTCTTGCTGAAGTTAAGAGAAACTCCCTATCATACTTCTGTGATGAAAAAGGGGGAAACAAGCAAACAAAAAATTGGGATCTTTCCCACTCTTCCTGGTGCATGTTTAGGTACCACGGATAATTCTGATCTGTGAGTAGGGATTGTTTAGCAACCGTGCAGTATCTCCACACTGAGTTGCCAACTATTTAAAGGACCAGCAGATATTAGCACAGGTGAAGCTTTTCAGAGGATGGAGGGAAACACCTGCACCCTTGGAAGAACTTCCTTTACGGCAGGAATAGGAAACCTGTTGCGCTCCAGATGTTCTTGGACTCCAAATCCCATCATCCAGGACTATTTGCCATGGTGACTGGGGCTGATGGGAAATGGAGTCCCAGCAGTGTTGGGGGGGGGGAAACAGTTTCGTCTCTGGGTTTTTGCAGACCCTCGGGCTCCTCCGCAAGACACAGGTGAAAAGGAGGCTGCTTTATTTTCTTATCGGTTTAGCATGCAGCTTCATTGCTTCCAAGCCATTGTTTATGAGTATTATAAAACAACCTTTAACAATAGCCTTAAAAGCAGGTGAGTGGGGGGTACACAGCAGACGTTTATAAAGTTAGGAGTGGAAAGAGTTGATGGGTTAGAATTATTTTTTTCTTCTCCTATTACTAGGAGCTAGTTAGCAAGTAGGCTCAGGACTGGTGTTTAGAAAGTTATTTGTCACCCAGCTTATTATCTTGTAGAATTCACCTGTGTGTCGAGGTTGACGTGCTTTTTGAAAAGGCTTAGTTGTCGGAATTCATGGAGGGCAGGTTTCGGAATGCACATTGGTAAGCCAGGGCAGCTAAATGGAACCTCCAGCTGCAGAGGAAGTCTACCTTGGAGCAACAGGTGCTAAGGGGAAGGCTGTTTTTCCTTCATGGCCTGCTTGCTCGTGACCTTTCCAGAGAAGCATCTGCCTGGCCACCTCTGGAAGCGGAACAACTGGGTGTGCATGCAGGCCTGATCCTGCCCGGAGCGAGAAAGAGAAAACGAGTGTAGGAAACCAAGTCTCCACCCCCCACCCCCTTCACCCCCGCTTAGCCTAGCACCTGTTGCCTTACTAAGTACAAGGGAGTGCCTGTTTGCTTTTCCTTTCTCGGTTCTTGGTTGTTGTGTGTGTTTTTTGCTGCGTTTTGGGTTTTTTTTTCCACGCCTGAGAGTAGATCCTGCCCTTTACCGCTAGGCTGGGGGCTTTCCCGTTCCATTGAGCATGACTTCATGACAGCCAGCAGCCAATCAGGAAGCAGCAGCCGGCAGAGCAGGGGAATTCCAAGAACCCTCAAAGCTTAAAAAAATAATAAAAATAGACAGGCAGACAGAGAGAAATTGGGGCTTGAGGGCTGACCGAGGGGGGAATGGAGCTCGAGGCCAGGTTATGAAGAGGCCTGGAGTGAGACGGGAGCCGCTGCGATTGCCTCTCTGGCAGAGGAAAGAGATGCACTCTTGCCCAGCTCTAGGTATGGGGCAGCTGGAGCGAAATGAGTTCTAGGGGAGAGAGAGGGCGTGTGTGACTTTTCAGTTACCGGCCCAGGGGTTGGGGGCACTGTGTTATTGTCTAGGCAACAGACTGGGTTGCTGGGAGGCCTGGGCACAGCAGGAAAGAGTCACTATCTCTCTGCTGTGCCTCTAAATGCCGGAAACCGCAGGAGGCGAGGGGAGAGTTGCACGGATCCTGCTTGTGGGTTCCCCACGGGGGGGGGGATATTTGGGGTGGGTTTCCCTGCTTTTTCTCTGGCTTTGAGCAGCACAGGTTGAAATCTTGCTGCCTGCTGATTTCCACACTCTGATAAGCTTCACTTGCTGATTTCTGTATTTCAGTCCTGCACTTAAAAAGAGCGGGCGTGTTTGGGTTCTCTTGGTCCCTTCTCTAGCCATGTGGCCATCCTGGGGACATCCCTTTTCTGAAAAGACAGGGGGTTCTTCCTTCCCTGCCCCCACTTCACACAAGAGACTCCTTAAGTTAAAGGGGCGGGGAGGTTTCTTACACTGGCAGGTGAAGGGGCATGAGTGTGTGTTTGGGGGCAAGTAAAATCAATTTTATTTGCTTTCTCCAAGTTTTGAAGCGGATGTTTCCTGCTCTGTGAATGATCATTTGGTTTTAGAAAGTTTGACCCTTTAGTGCCAAGCTGGTGGCTCTGTTTTTAAAGACTTTTTGATCATCCCGTCTTGCAAATGGGCTCATGTCTGCCTGGTCGCCTGTGGTGAGCAAAAATTGCCTCCAGGTAACCAGACAACAAAATGTTGAGAAAGCTTAGGTGTATGTAGACAGGTAGACTAGTAGGGTTCCCCCCCTTTTTTTAAATGGGCTAGCGGCTTTGCAGATTTCTTCAAATCGCTCTGATTTCTTATGAGGTGTTTTAAAGTAGAAAATGCATCTTGATACTAAAGGTAAAGGGACCCCTGACCATTAGGTCCAGTCGTGGCCGACTCTGGGGTTGCGGCGCTCATCTCGCTTTATTGGCCGAGGGAGGCGGCGTACAGCTTCCGGGTCATGTGGCCAGCATGACTAAGCCGCTTCTGGTGAACCAAAGCAGCACACGGAAACACCGTTTACCTTCCTGCCAGAGCGGTACCTATTTATCTACTCGCACTGGTGTGCCTTCGAACTGCTAGGTTGGCAGGAGCAGGGACCGAGCAACGGGAGCTCACCCCGTGGCGGGGATTCGAACCGCCGACCTTCTGATCGGCAAGCCCTAGGCTCTGTGGTTTAATCCACAGCGCCACCCACGTCCCCTATCTGCAACTTAAATGTGTAAGACCCTAGCCATTGGTGTTTGGAGATCCCTTGGAGGTGGCATGCTCTTAGAAACTATACGCTGTATGGCAGTGAAATGGGAAAGTGAACAAAATATGGATGTTTCTGTCTCTACTGTTGTTGTGAGAACATTAGCCTGATCAAGCAGCGCTTGCCATCATTTTCTTATGCTTATTATTAAAGCAAAGGGTAGATATTTGGCCCTAGAAGGTGAATGGTGCAGTAGACGATATATCTGTAGCTTGGAAGAATTCTGGGGCAGTAAGAACGCATCATTAAGTTACAAGGTGATTAATAAATCAATGAAGATGACAACTGTACTTTGTTAAGGGTACTGGGAGTTACAGCTCTGCGAGGGGTGAACTACAGTTCCCATGATTGCTTGGGAGAAAGCAGTGTGCTTTGAATGCATGCTGTGTACATAGCCTTTAGCTTCATAACCTCTTTACCCCTGCAATTCAGGCACTCTTAAAAAGGGAAGGTTGTTTTCCGGGTACTGAATTTGAGGATGGAAGTGAGACTAACCAGGTGAAGAAAGGTCAGACTGGTCTGCTGTTGCACCTTGAACAGCCGCCATGCTGAGTGGCTTGAAGATACCACGTTGAATTTCCCACGATGCCCTGGAGCGACACTGCATCTGGGGCATCGTGGGTTGTTTAAAATGAGGCCTGCATTTAAACATTGCTGATTGCCCTTGGCCTTCTCTAATAGTGGGCTGCCTCCATTGGTCTCCCCTGGTTTTGAACACTTTCTTGGTGGACACGGCCTGGAAATTATGGTAGAATGCTTCTTCCCAACACATTGTTTGTCTTCACAGGCTCCTCCCTCCCAGCTTCCAGTTTGTCCATCATGCAGCCCACGGCAGAGACGGCTGGTAAGGACCGCTTGCGTTCGCTTCACGTGTAGCCCTTTGATCAACTTCTTAGAAACCCAGAGTTTAATTCTTCCTCTGTTAGCGATGAAAGAAATAAAAAAGTGAAAGGCTAGGAACTATGGTTACTTTTATTATTTGCATTTATCGTAGGGTCCCAGGATGGGTTACAGTACTTAAAAGTTTTTATATGCTTTTAGTTTTTTAAAAAAGCTTTTCAAAAGTCTTAAATTATTGCTGTTAATTTTTCAATCAATCCCTCTTCCCAGGGGACCCCTAATGACCATTTAATGAAGGCAGGCTGATGAGTTAGTAAACTTATGTGCTGGGTTGTGAACCCCTCACCGTTCAATACGTGCAGACAGGCGGAATATGCTGTGATTTGATTTAAAATACTGATCTATCTTTCTCTTCTTTTCAGATGAATTAGGTAAGGATTCTGGGGCTTGGGGCAGAGTAGTGAAGCAAACTTCAGGTAAGGAAAAAAATCAATATTAGGATGATATATTCTTGACAAATACAAGGAACATACAGTAAGTGAGAGCTAGTGTGGTGTAGTGGTTAAGAGCGGTAGACTCGTAATCTGGGGAACCGGGTTCGCTTCCCCGCTCCTCCACATGCAGCTGCTGGGTGACCTTGGGCCAGTCACACTTCTCTGAAGTCTCTCAGCCCCACACACCTCACAGAGTGTTTGTTGTGGGGGAGGAAGGGAAAGGAGAATGTTATCCGCTTTGAGACTCCTTCGGGTAGTGATAAAGCGGGATATCAAATCCAAACTCTTCTTCTTCTGCATGTGGCTTGGTTCACATTTAATGATCAAAGCATGGTTTGCCCTTCAGAGCTTAAGCACATGTCCTTTATTGTACTTCCTGGTTCAGCAAACCGCTATTTGATGTTGCATCCAACTGGGTAAACCACAGTTTGCTTCCAAACTAGAACAGGAAACAGTAGTTTGATTAACGTTCGTCGTTGGGAGGAAAACCATAGTTTGCCGCTTCAGATGTAATGACAAATCATGGTTTGTGTGAACCGGGAAATGATGGAGGGAGGGGAGGAGCAGGAGCACAAAGCCCATTCGAGATGGCAAAAATCATGGTTTGACTGTTGCATCTAAACCAAGTTCTCTGTGTATGTGTGGAGGACCAGTTGGTGGTTAAAGTACTGATTTGTACATGTGTGTATGTCCCTTAGTGTCACATAACTCAGTGGCTTTAATCTAAACGTGTGAACTAGATTCTATGCACCAGTACTGTGTTAACAGATAGAGATTTGTTGGAGTTCAGCGGCTGCTTCTGTGTGTGGAAGTCAATTAGCCGTTCTGTCTGATCAGTGAGCTGTGGCAGTGTTTCAGGAGATGCTGGTGGGGCACGCGCTGCTTTTATGTTTTCTACTTTGTGCATTGTTCTCCTTTCCCATTCTGGTCTCTTTTTGGCTATAATGGAGGTTCACAAAACAACAACAAGCCTCTGATTACTTGAAATATATTCAATAAACACACAAGACATAACCGGCTGTACGTTTGAATAAATCAAGTATACTATTGAATAAATCAAGTATACTATTCATTGTATTAAATTGTAGGTTTCAACAAAAGTACCTCATAAAGGTCAACAAAAAAAGTAGAAGACACAGTGGATCAGTTCATTCTCTAATCAGTTCATGCATAAGGTCCATATATGTGTAAGTGTCTATTCCACCTGTCTGTTCATAAAGTCCAACAATCCACACAAAAGGTTGTTACAGGTCCACAGAATCCTTTCATGGAGTCTAAGACAAGGATTTCTGGAATATTAGCCTTGTTTCGCTGTCTTGGGCTTCATCAGTAGTACAAACTCATATAATAATGATAATAATAATAATAATTTTTATTTATACCCCGCCCTCCCCAGCCAAGACCGGGCTCAGGGCGGCTAACAACCAATAATAAAAACAAGTTGATTAAAATACAATTTTAAAAAACAAGATTAAAATACAACATTAAAACATTAGGATGCAGCCTCTTCACAGGAGGAGAAAGGAAAAAGAAAGAGGGGGAGGGAATCAAACTGATTCTAAGCCAAAGGCCAGGTGGAACAACTCTGTCTTACAGGCCCTGCGGAAAGAAATCAGATCCTGCAGGGCCCTGGTCTCATGAGACAGAGCGTTCCACCAGGCCGGGGCCAGTGTTGAAAAGGCCCTGGCTCTGGTTGAGGCTAATCTAACTTCCTTAGGGCCCGGGATCTCTAGGGTGTTGCTATTTATGGACCTTAAGGTATATATACAAACTGTCACAGGACAGTGGATCTTATAGCATAGTAGTAGCTTCTGTATAGTGGAGGTTCTGCAGCGGCTGGTATCTCTAGTCATAGAGTCATGTAGGATTGTTCTGTAAAGATGAAAAAGAAGACTAAAACACAAGGAAACAAGTAATGCCGAAACACCATTTCTTTATTTTCGTGGCACTTAAACAAAGCACTGTTTTTAAATCTCCCAAACAGCAGCGACAAAGAACAGTAGTGAGTACATAAGAATAGCTTTGCTGGATCCGATCAAAGGCTTTTCTGGTCCAGTGCTCTGTTTTTACAGTGTCCAATCTGATGCCTCTGGGAAGCCACAAGCAGGGCAAAAGGGCAAAATTGCTTGCCCCATCTGTGATTCTCAGCAAGTGGTATTGACTCTGATTCCGGGGTTAGCAGATAGCCATCAAGACTGGTAGCCATTGATATGCAGATTCATGGAAGTGAAGGCAAAACTTTTTTTAAAATAGTTTTTCTTTATACTTTTCAAATCTATACATTTCATTAGTTTTACAATCATTTTAACATTTCAAAGTTTGACTTCCTTCCCCCTCTTTCTGCGGTTCCTTCATTATTATTTTTTAATATCTTCCGCATATCCAAATTCATTTCATTTGATCGTTTAATTATCTACTTTAAATATACAGTGGACCCTTAATTCGTTCTGGGGGTCCTTACATACCCCAAAAAGAGCGCAACATGAGGCGCCACTTCTGCGCACGTGCACGGCATGGTAGAGCACTTCTGCGCATGCGCGCGGGGCAAAACCCAGAAGTATACACTTCTGGTTTGCTGCGTTTGCAACCCGAAAGTTAGTTACTAGAAGGTAATGTAACCCAAGGGTCCACTGTATACTCTTATGAAACTGCAGGTTATTACAATAATCCTGCCAATGTTTTTATCTGTTTGCAATTCATCTGTGAATATTCAATAAACCATTTCCATTTTTTTAATAAAAAAAGTTTGTTATCTTGATTGCTTATTCTTCCGGTAAGTTTTGCCATTTCTTCATATTCCCTAAGTTTTTGTATCCATTCTTCCTTTGCTTCTGCATCTTTCTATTTTGGGGTGAGTAGCATTCTTGCTGCTGTAGTTACATACAATTTAGGTAGTTCTGTCCCTATCATTCCCAAAAGAAATCTTCTGGTTTATTTACAAAGGTTATTTTAAACATCCTGTTCAATTAATATAATATATCGTTTCCCACTGTTCAGCGCTAACTCTGCAATCCCCAAGAGGATAATGAGTGTTTGAAACAATTTTTTTAAAAGATTGAGTAGAAATGTCCCACAGGGAAGGTGCCACCACCAAGAGGACCCTGCTTCTCACAAATATGGGACTGTAATGAGAATTATAGAATTGTAGAGGGTCATCCAGTCCAACCCCCTGCAATTCAGGAATCTCAGCCAGAGCCTCCATGACAGATGGCCACCCAACCTCTGCTTAAAAACCTCCAAGGAAGGAGAGACCACCACCTTCCAAAGGAGTCTGTTTCATTATCAAACAGCTCTTACCGTCAGTGAAATATACTCAGAGTCCTGTAGTGATTTCATGCTCTTTATTGCAGCTAGTAAAACAGTGATTGAATTGCCCCCCAAACCTCAGGCTTTTATATACATTATTTACACAATGAGTCCCGTCTGATTGGCTGATTCTGCTTCCCTCCTGGAGCCTGATTGGTCTTCTCCTGCAGGCCAATCAGTTGTTGCATTCTAGGATCCTACTTGCCTATTGTTCTAGGATCCAAGCTTAGTACAGTGGTACCTCTGGTTGCGAATGGGATCCATTCCGGAGGCCCGTTTGCAACATGAAAAGCCCGCATCCTGAAGCGCCGTATCTGCGCAGGTGCGTGGCGTGATTTGGCGCTTGTGCGCATGTCCAAAGCACGATTTAGCGCTACTGCGCATGCGCAAGCAGCAAAACCCAGAAGTAACGCTTTCCGGTACTTCTGGGGTGCTGCGGGACGCAACCTGAAAAAACATAACATGAAGCAAATGTAACATGAGGTGTGACTGTACATAACAGTCAGAAAGGTTTTTCTGATGTTTAGTCGTACAGTGGTGCCCCGCAAGACGAATGCCTCGCAAGATGGAAAACCCGCTAGACGAAAGGGTTTTCCGTTTTTGAGTTGCTTCGCAAGACGAATTTCCCTATGGGCTTGCTTCGCAAGACGAAAACGTCTTGCTAGTCTTGCGATTTTTTTCCGCTCCCCCCCCCTTTTCCTAAGCCGCTAAGCCGCTAATAGCCTTTAGCAGCTAGGCCGCTAAGCCTTTAATAGCCGCTAAGCCACTAATAGCGCTAAGCCGCTAATAGGGTTGCTTCGCAAGACGAAAAAACCGCGAGGTGAAGAGAATCACGGAACGGATTCTTTTCGTCTTGCGAGGCACCACTGTAATCTCCTTTCTTGTAGCTCGAAGGCGTTGGTTCAAGTCCTACCCTCCAGAGCAGGAGAAAACAAGCTTTCTCCACCAGCCTTTGAGATATTTGAAGGTGGCTATCACATCTCCTCTCAGTCTCCTCTTTTCCAGGCCACACATGCCCAGCTCTTTCAACGAGAAGCCTTCTTGACGATTGCAGCGGTTGTGGTTCCTATGGGAAAGGGGATTTATTGAGATGCGTAAAGTCCATAACCATTCAGAGGTTTAAACACGAATATCAACGCTTTGAATGGAACCTGGAACTTAACCCCTTCCTGCTCTCATTCTGCCTTCCAGAAATCATCGATGAACTGATTAAGGAAGATGGCTTCGAGGTGGATCCCTTCTCGCTTCCCCCCAGGGTCTCGCTTAACGGGCCAGCCGAGCTGATCCCCAAACGCTCCAACTTAGCATCACCAGCCGGAATGCCGAGACCAGCTGAGCCGATGGGCATGAGCCTGTCGCGGCCCTACGGCTCCTCCTGTTTCTCAGCCTCTGTGCTGCGAGACCCGTCTCCTTCCCAGCTCTCTCAGAACCTTAACAACTTGACAATAAGGCCCCAGCTGGTTCCAAGGGGGACGTCCCTCCTGTTGCTGCCCAGTAGCAGATGCTCTGATGACTCGTGGCCCCCTGCCCCCTCTTCCCTGCGTCCTGGGATGTCCCGAGAGCAGTTGGACGACATCATCCAGGAGCCGCCCAGGCTGGTGATCACGGAGCAGCCCAAGCAGAGGGGCATGCGTTTCCGTTACCAGTGCGAAGGCAGGTCGGCTGGAAGCATCTTGGGCGAATTCAGCACCGAGACCAACAAAACTCTGCCGACCATTGAGGTGAGTGGTATGTGTTAGGATATTGATGTTCTCTTCCGCCTAAACAGATGTGTGGAGCTGTTGTATGTCTCGTGTCTGTTTACATTCCAGCACAGCTTGCTGGGAACTTCCGTTTGTGTATAGCTTTTGCCTTATGCTTCTTGCTTGGACGTGAAGGAGAGCAGGCATGTTTTCTTTGTCCTGATCTATGCTGAATAAACTGCTTGTAAATATGCTTTAGGGACACGGGTGGCGCTGTGGGTTAAACCACAGAGCCTAGGACTTGCCGATCAGAAGGTCGGCGGTTCAAATCCCCGCGACGGGGTGAGCTCCCGTTGCTCGGTCCCTGCTCCTGTCCACCTAGCAGTTCGAAAGCATGTCAAAGTGCAAGTAGATAAATAGGTACTGCTCCAGCGGGAAGGTAAACGGCGTTTCCGTGCGCTGCTCTGGTTCTCCAGAAGCGGCTTAGTCATGCTGGCCACATGACCCGGAAGCTGTCTGTGGACAAACGCTGGCTCGCTCGGCCTATAGAGCGAGATGAGTGCGCAATCCCAGAGTCAGTCACGATTGGACCTAATGGTCAGGGGTCCCTTTACCTTTAAATATGCTTTACATATGCCTCTGCCTGCCCTTCCGCCGCAAAGAGTTATCTCTGCTGGCTTGCGCGCTCAGCTTCTGAAAGGCTTCTGAAGCTCTGAGTCGCAGATAGATGCAGAACCGAGGACCAGAGTTCGACCGGCTGCTGGCCGGTGGGCTAGAGCCAGCTGGGGGCCTGGCAATTGCCCCCGGTTCCCTTGGACGCATCACAACAGTGTGTTTCATCAAAGCCCAGTTTGCAGTCAGCCGTTGTTTAAAAGATCGCCTTTGCCAACCGGCTGCGCTGCGGATGTTTTGGACTACAAGTCCCATCGTCCTTAGCTCACAGGACCCAATGGTCATGGACGATGGGTGTTGTAGTCCAACAACACCTGGCGACCCGAGGTTGAGAAAGGCCTTGTTAAGGCCAACAGGTTGGTGAAGGCTGTGTGAAGAACTGCACAGAACCCATGGAAGTCTTGCCCTTTGGGAAGGTGCCGTAGGGGCAGCTCAGCCAATAGCAGTTCGTGGGCTCCTTGGTGGTGGCCCCCAGAAGAAGGCCTCCTCCTCCTTCTCTGTTTGTTTCTCCAGCTGCAGAACTTTGCAGGCATCCCAGAAGCGAAGGTGACAGCATGCTTGGTGTGGAAGGATTGGCCTCACCGGATCCACCCTCACAGCCTGGTGGGGAAAGACTGCAACAATGGTCTCTGCGAAGTGACGCTGAAGCCCCGAGCCAACCCCAAGCACAGGTAAGAACGCCTTGCATTGCTTGACGCTCTGCGGAGAGTTGGCTGCAGCACTGTGTTTGCTGTGGGGCCTGTTAAAGGTGCGGAGAGTTGTTAGGGGAGCCCTGTTCCTTCTCACATAGCCAGGGACGCGGACTTATAAAAAATATTGGGGGGGCCCGGGAAAGCTCATGAATAATAAATAAGCTCATGAATATGCAAATAAAGTGGCGCCGCCTCCTCGTGAGCGAATAGGGGAGAGCGTGCTGCGCCTATTAATCAGCTCCAAAGGAAATTGGGTGGAGCTTTTGCTCGGGAGGGAGGGCAGGAGGCATGCAGCCCGCCCCTCCCTGTGCATTTTGGGCTGGGGGAGGGGCGGCGATGGCGCTCTGCTGGAGGGGCGCCGGAGATTATTGGGGGGGCGGAGCCCCCCCCAAACGAATTTTTGAGGGGGCTCGGGCCCCCTCAAGCCCCATGGAGTCGGCGCCTATGCACATAGCTATAGTTCCCAGAGTTCCCTGTGGAGAGGGATTGATAGTTAAAGCACTCTGGCAATTGCAGCTCTGTGACGACTGTTGTTGTTTAGTCGTGTCCGACTCTTCGTGACCCCCTGGACCAGAGCACGCCAGGCACTCCTGTCTTCCACTGCCTCCCGCAGTTTGGTCAAACTCATGCTGGTAGCGTCGAGAACACTGTCCAACCATCTCCTCCTCTGTCGTCCCCTTCTCCTTGTGCCCTCCATCTTCCCCAACATCAGGGTCTTTTCCAGGGGTCTTCTCTTCTCATGAGGTGGCCAAAGTATTGGAGCCTCAGCTTCACGATCTGTCCTTCCAGTGAGCACTCAGGGCTGATTTCCTTCAGAAGGGATAGGTTTGATCTTCTTGCAGTCCATGGGACTCTCAAGAGTCTCCTCCAAAACTGTGACGACTATCAGCACCCTAAACAAAACATGGCTCCCAGTATTCTTTTGGGGAAAGCCATGGCTATTTAAATGTGGTATGATACTGCTTTAAGTGTATTGTGCCAAAAGGGCCTAACTTAAGCAGGGGATATTGTATTAGGATTATGGAATTGTAGATTTGGTCCAAACCCCTGCAATGAAGGAATCTCAACTAAAGCATCCACGACAGAGCCAACATTTGCTTAAAAACCTCCAAAGAAGGAGAGTCCACGGAGGGAGTCTGTTGCCCTTTCAAACAGCTCTTACCTTCAGAAAGTTCTTCCCAATATTCAGTTGGAATCTCCTTTCTTGTAACTTGAAGCCATTGGTTCAGGTCCTAGCCTCCAGAGCAAGAGAAAACAAGTTTGCTGCATCTTCTGTGTGCCAGCCCTTGGAATATTTGAAGCTGGCTCTCATATCTCCTCTCAGTTTCCTCTTTTCCAGGCTAAACATACCTAACTCCCTCAACCATTCCTCATAAGGCTTGGTTTCCATCTTGGTTGCCTTCCTCTGTTCATCTTTCAGTTTATCAGTATCCTTCTTAAATTGTGGTGCCCAGAACTGGACACAGGACTGCAAGTGTGGTTTGACAAAGGCAGACTAGAGTGGGACCATCGCTTCCCTTAATCTGGACTCTATAATTTGTTGATGCAGCCTAGAATAGCAATAATATTTTTTGCTGCTGCACCACACTGTATTGTGTGTGCGCACGATCTGACTTATTTTAGGGGGATAAATAAATTTCAGATAACCATATTTAGAGATGACGGTGATGAGGGATTGAGGATTGGAATTACCGTTTTGAGATATTACAAATATTACACATTATGGCAGTGGACAAAGCTGTATTATAACTTTTGAGTAAGTGTGTTTTAAAAATAATAATAAATGAGATGATCTGGGAGTAATTGAAGGGGAATCCAACTGATTTCAAGCAGGATCTGTTGGGAAAAGAGTTGGGCAGCAAATGAATTGAAGAGGAAGTGCAATGGAGTGATCTGGGACAGGGTACAAAGAGGAACTTCATTGGAGTGATCTGGGGCAGGGTACAAAGGGTGCCAGTTGAATGAATGGCTTCTTTGAGTTATTTGGATGAGAAATAGCTTGGTTTGCTTTCCATGGCATTTGCATTCAAAATCTGCAGCTGTGCATACGAAACAGCACATGTAAATTTTGTACAAACGTATGCCTATTGGCCGTTTCCGTAGCGAGATGAGCGCCGCAACCCCAGAGTCGGTCACGACTGGACCTAATGGTCAGGGGCCCCTTTACCTTTACCTTTTTTATGCCTATTGGCCTGTGCTCGAAATCTTTTAAAGTTCATAATAATAATAATAATAATAATAATAATAATAATAATAATAATAATAAATTTTCTTTATACCCCACCCTCTCTGGCCAGAGCCGGGCTCAGGGCGGCTAACACCAGTAAAATTACAGTAAAGACATAATAAGAAAAAAACCCCAATTTAAAATACAGGTTAAAATGCAATTTAAAATGCAGTTAAAAATTTAAAATCCTAGCGAGTATGCTCTTGATCTCCGCTGTCTCCAGTCAGGACTGAAAAAGATCAAGACGCTGAGAATTGCAGACAAGGTAGATCTAGATGGAGAAATGGACCAATGTGGTTTAAGGCAGCTTGGAACCAAAACGCCTCCGTTGTTGGCAGCCTTCCGGTTTCCTGAACCCCAAACTCTCCTCTGATCACTTTGCAGTTTTAACAACCTTGGGATCCAGTGCGTGAAGAAGAAGGACATAGAGGAATCCATAGAGAAAAAGCTGCAACTTGGGATTGATCCTTTCAAAGGTATTGCGGGGTGGGCGCTCTCATAGGCCGCCTTGAGAGGCCGGGTTGGTCATAGTAGCTCCTGCAGGACTAGAACCAAAATTTGGTGGCCAGAGCATAGCTGTCAATCTTCCCTTTTTTTGTGGGAAATTCCCTTATTCCAGCGCCGTTTCCTGCTGCTATCCCAGATTGTTAGATATCCTGTAGACTGTCCCCGGGACAGGTGAGGCTGCTGATCCCTTATTTTCAAATCCGAAAGTTGACAGCTATGGGCCAGAGGCCTTTGTGAGTTGGGCAGCCCATCAAGGAAAAACTGGGGAGCCTGTGGTGGCCATTTTGGTTGCTGTGACCTGCACTGCAGATGTTTTGGACTACAACGCCCATCATCTGGCCCTCCAGCTCTGCCCCTCTCTTAAAGAGGGCTTTGAAGAGTTATGGGGTTGTTGTTTTCACCAAGAACCAGTGCTATGATACCTAATAGGAGTGGAGGGAGACATAGTTTTATTCTGTGGTCCAACCACCCCTAACATTTACTTATTATTGCTACTAGTACTGCTATAAGTCTTATTTATTAAATTTATTGGGGACTTATTTATACAAACCAACACGTACATTTAAACTGGCATGAATGAAAAACAGGTAAAAGGCAATCCTAGCTTTAAAAGATGGGATTAAAACATCCCACCCACTCAAGATGGCCACAGATAATTGAGAGCCAAAGGGCTGGCGAAAAATAAATGTTTTTGCCTGGTACTTAGGGTTGGCATATTCCCCAAAGTGAAAATCAGGACAAAGTTCTTGAGTTTTTTAGCTTCAAAAAATCTCCCAAGAAACAAAACGTTTTTGGGCTTTTCTTTGATTTTTAAAGCAGTTTTTAAATAAAAAAATAACAACCCTCCTTGACATATGTTTGGGTTTTCCCGGGCATTTTGCCAATTCAGCAAAAAATCTGCTTGGACGCCATTTCGCTGCCCAATTCCCAGACGTATCACGGAAAGCCAGGACATATGGCAGCCCTACTGGTGCCTAAAGCTATGTAATAGTGGCGCCAGGCGAGGCTTTCCGAGGAGAGCTTTCCACAAATGGGGAGCCACCACTGAAAAGCCCCTGTTTCTGCTACTATACAACAAATGCGTTTATTCTGTGCTTGGTTTGCTCTTTCTGTTTCTCAATTTCTCTCTCTCCTTGTCTCTCTGCATAGCTGGCTCATTAAAAAATCACCAGGAGGTTGACATGAATGTGGTCAGGATTTGTTTTCAAGTCTCATACCAAGATCGCACAGGGAAGACGCGACACCTCAGCCCTGTTCTTTCAGAACCCATCTTTGACAAGAGTAAGCAATGGGGAGTATTGGAAGGTGGTGAAGTGGGCGAGTGTGTTTTTTTAGCCGTGGCTACAAAGGAAAATAACAAGGGCAAGTAAACAAACACCAAGGGGGGGGGAGCAGAGACATGGTGTTAGGAATCCAGCCAATCCAGTGCTTTTGTAGGATTGAGACCCTACAAACCCCAGAAAATGGGTTGTAGTTAATGGATAGGAGGGAATGACAAACTGCACATGATCAGGGGAGAAGCCTTGGGATAAGGCAAGCTGGTTGCTTCAGGACCATGGAGAGCTCCTGGTGAGAAACTTGCTCCAGCAAGGGTTGAAAGTCAACAACAGCCTCCACCTCGACTGGGCTCAGTTTCCTTGTGGAGAACTGGAGTCCATCAAAGGGTCAATACCCTGGACACTTTGCCTGTACTCCATTGGTCTCCTGTGCCATTGGACCATTGAAGTAAAGTGGGAGGCGGTTTCTTGGGCTTGGGGTGGGGGGAAGGTGCCTGTGAGCTTTCTGTCTCCAGGTATATAGGCCCTGACGCTGTAGGATGGTTCAGCAGCTGCCTGCCTGCCTGCCTTCCAGCCTCAGGTTCAGGGATCTGATCATCAGCCTCAGGACCAAGAACCCAGTACAGCTCCTTAACCCACGCTACTTCAGCTTTCAAATCAGTGTCCTGGTCAAAGCTGGACTCCGCAGGCCCTGTGAATTTGCTTTTCCAAGGACTAAGCCCTGACATCGGAATGGGTTTTGTATCTTAGCATTGGATGATTGCCCTTTAAGGGAAGGTTCCTGCCATGCACTCCTTGCTATGCATACAATCTGGGCTTTCTCTGGAGAAGGTCCCTTGCAGACACATGGAGCAGAAAAGAAAACACATGTGGTTATGGGAAGCAGGGTCAGATTCTAATGCTGTGGGTTTGGGTACGTGCAGAATCCACAAACACGTCGGAGCTGAAAATCTACCGGATGAATAAGGAGTATGGCAGCTGTACGGGTGGAGAGGAGCTCTATTTGCTGTGTGATAAAGTCCAGAAAGGTAAGTGAAAAGAACCCCAGGGATCTTTGTGGGTCTCATTCCCCAACACATCAGGCTTGAGCTGTTGATTGGGTGCCTGCTGTTCTGAACCGCAGGCCCCAACCGCAGGCCTGTGAGAGTGGTTTGATGCAGGAATCCCAAAGAGGGATTTCAAAATGCCAGAATGGCCCGTTCTTAGTGCTTTATTAAAGAAAGGTGTAAACTTACAACACAGAGTGCAGAGTCTCACTGCCTTTACAGATTCAGGACAGACACTGCAACAGTGAGAGGTTGTCACGACTTGTCCACCCCCAAGCAAATGTATATACATCTGTTACGCACTAACCAGCATACGTCAGCTTACCCAGAACCTCCTAGAACACCTGGCCGGTGAGGCCATAGGTGGCAGTTAGCCAAAGCTTCTCAAGGTTTACAGATAAGCATAGCATCAAGCCAGCTGACTACCACAAGTGAATATAAACATATATGAGCTCATTCTTGCAACATCTGCCAATTATTCTGGGGTTATCTTGACTACCAAAGATGGTGCTTGAAGGCCTTCTGGAACATTTCAGCTTGGTTCAACACAACCGTGAGGAAGACAGAGAAGTGTGATGGGTTCAGCTTCCATTCTTAAGAGGAGGCAGAGGTCATCTTCTTTCTTTGGCAATCCCTCGTAGCCGAGTAAGATTGTCTTCCATGAACACAATCTTAACAGTGAGTCCGTAAGTGACTGTGGAGGTCGATTCTGGATCTGCACATCCTTCCAATGGGGACATAGGTTTCTGGCTAGGAGTTGATCACGGTGAGGGTTTGCCAAGCGTGCCTTCCTCTTAGCACATTTCTCCTTTTCATCCTGAGTTCGAGCATCTTCAAAGCCCATGACACCTTTGTTAAAAGCTGTTCTCTAATTGGAGCGCTCGCAGGCCAGTGTTTCCCAATTGTCGGTGTTTATACTACATTTTTTTTAGATTTGCTTTGAGAGAGTCTTTGAACCTCTTTTGTTGACCACCAGCATTACGCTTTCCATTTTTAAGTTCAGAATAGAGTAGTTTCTTGGGCAGACAATAATCAGACTTCCTGGAGGGGAAGACCTTATCTAAAAGGACCTCCTTGCCTCTGTCGTCCTTGCAGAAGACATCTCCATCATCTTTCGAAGGGACAAGTGGGAGGGGAAAGCTGACTTTTCCCAAGCCGATGTTCACCGGCAGATTGCCATCGTCTTCAAGACGCCACCGTACCAGCACCTTGACATTGTGGAGCCGGTGGAGGTGGAGGTATACCTCCGCCGTTTGACGGACAGCGTCTCCAGCGACCCCTTCAACTTCACCTACCTGCCAAAGGACAACGGTATGATGGGAGCATGAGAAATTGTCTGGTACCAAGTCAGGCGGTTCATCCATCTAGCTTAACACTGGCTGGCAGGATCTTGGACAAAGTGCGCCTTCCCTTTCACTTTATACCTTTTCCTTTTAGCCAGAGATACCAGAGATTGAGGGGACGCGGGTGGTGCTGTGGGTTAAACCACAGAGCCTAGGACTTGCCGATCAGAAGGTCGGCGGTTTGAATCCCTGCGACGGGGTGAGCTCCCGTTGCTCAGTCCCTGCTCCTGCCAACCTAGCAGTTCGAAAGCACATCAAAGTGCAAGTAGATAAATAGGTACCGCTCCGGTGGGAAGGTAAACGGCATTTCTGTGCGCTGCTCTGGTTCACCAGAAGCGGCTTAGTCATGCTGGCCACATAACCCGGAAGCTGTACGCCGGCTCCCTCGGCCAATAGAGCGAGATGAGCACCGCAACCCCAGAGTTGGTCACGACTGGACCTAATGGTCAGGGGTCCCTTTACCTTTACCTTTAAAATGCAAAAAATAAAATGAAAATGTACTTCTTTGCCAAACCTTTGGATCAATCTTTTTGCAGACACTTACCGGGTCAACAAAAAAGGAAGCAAGGCATGCCCGATGTCCTAGAGGAGCTCTCTGGCCCAGGTTTGTATACTTGGCGGCAACTCGGTTTGCTGCCCAAGGGGTCATGGATATGTTTTGCAGAATCCGCACACCGTAGACGGTTTTGTCCAACTTCCCTTTTGCCTTTTGTTTCACCAGACCCTCACGGGATCGAAGCCAAAAAGAAGAGAAAGAAGCCAGGGTACATGGACCATTTCAACTTGACTCCGTCCGCAGGTCAGTCCGGCTAGGCTAGGCCGAAGCCTGCCTCTGTTTGGAGCCTACTGAGTTCTAAACTGATTATTATGCAGTAGTACAGAAAATTATCGAAGAGGGCACAGCGGTGGTACCACCAACCCCTCTCCCCAAACACACACCAGAGGCTTTCCATAATGTTTCGGGAACCCAGTTTTGCAGGCAAAGCCACTGTTGTGGTGAGCTGGTGTAAAAATGAAGCAAAATCTAGGCCAGTGTTTCCCAACCTTTTTTGGGCAAAGGCACACTTGTTTCATGAAAAAATCTCGAGGCACACCACCGTTAGAAAATGTTAAAAAATTAACTCTGTGCCTATATTGACTATATATAAAGTAACTCTCTTTAATAGGAATCAAATAAACACAAACCCTCACCTCCCCCCCCACACGCTTGCTCACCCCAACACATTGTTGGACTTATATAATTAACATCCACTGCTATTTTTCCTTCGGAGCTCTTTACACCTGTGACAAAACTCGCCCACCCAGAAATATACTTTGCCTCTTCTGTAGCCAGTGGGAAGGGGGGGGGGCGATATTACCAAAGATTCCTGGAAGGGGTTAATCTTTGAACGCGTTCCCCACAACCTACCTTCCCTTCTCCGCCGCCCCCTGCTCTTCCTTCGCTGCTGCATCTGAGTCTAGAGGAGTAAAATGCAAGGTGCCTCTCTCCCCCCCCCCGCCCCCCAAAACAGCAGAGACTAAAAAAATATTGGGGGGAGAAAGAAAGGGGGGAGAGAAAGGAATTTTTTGCTAATTGGCTAATATCTTTCTCCAGTGCTCCTCCAATTCTTCTTCTCCTTTTCTCTCTCTTTTCTCTTTCTTCCTCTCCCCCTCCCACCCCATAAACTCTGGTTTCGTTTTAAAACCTTGCTTTCGCTTGTTGCAGGGAGAGTACCGGGGTTGGAGCGTGGCTAACCTTTCTAGCCCTGTGGAAAGTGCGGGACAACAAGAAAACAAAAACAAACCTCTCTCTCCTGTTTAAGAAACAGTTAAACACTCTCACTCTTTCTCGCAGCCTCCTTCCCCAGCCTCCTTTTGGCTGTCCCTTTTCCATACTCTTATTTTCCCGGTGGGTTCTCTCTCTCAAACACACTCACATTCACACACACACACAAAAGCACACACTTGTTTCCCACCAAGCGTCTCTTCACAAGTCCCAGCCTTGCCTCTAAAGCGAACTTGGGCGAAAAGGTGAAATTTTCTTTATAGAGGTCGCGATCTCGCCTCGCTGCTTACCGCTCGCAGCTTCATACTGCGAGGTTTACGGTACATCCGATGGCAAGCGCAATACCTACCAGGCTCAACGCCGGTCTCGCGCTGCCGCTTCCCACGCTCTCAAGGACCCGGGAGGAGGAAGGCGTGAAGGCAATCCCGAAGGCGCGAAAACCTCGCGCATGCGCAGGCCTTCCGCCTGCGACAGCCCAGTAGGCCGGCCGAAGCGAGCGGCGATGGGATGTGGGAGGGAGCTCGCTCGCCGCCCCGCGTGTGCTCGCCGCCGCCGCCCCGCCTCTCGCCGCCCGACTCGCCCGCCTCCCTCCCACGGCACACTAGGCAACGTCTCGCGGCACACTAGTGTGCCGCGGAACACCGGTTGGGAAACACTGCGCTAGACGAAGAGAATCACAAAACGGATTCTTTTCGTCTTGCGAAGCACCACTGTATATGTTTTTAGAATGTTGCACTATTTTAGTGTTGTTAGCCGCCCTGAGCCCGGCTTCGGCTGGGGAGGGCGGGATATAAATAAAATTTATTATTATTATTTATTATTTATTATTATTATTCTCATTCCCGTTCCCTCCCCTTTCTCCTCCTTCTTCAAGAGTCCTGCCCATGAGTTCCTCTGAGCATGAACAGAAAGCTGTCTTGGGACTATTGTGGACTCTTGGCACCCTTCCCAGGAAAGGGGGAATGAGAAGCCAAAGGGGGGTGGGTCGAGGAGCCCTGGTGGTTCACTATGTCCAAGATGTTGCAACTGAATGAGATAAGATTCAGTTCTCAGGCCTGAGTATTCTTGGCATTGACAGAGTCTATTCATTAGCCTTTTGAAGCCTTCTTGTACTGATAAAAAAAAATAACATTTTGCCTATGTACCAGCATCTTGTGAGAATCCACAGAAAAGCTGTAGCTGTGGATTTTTAGAAGACAAAAGGAATTTTGGACAGTTTTGAGGCCTGGTTGGGGGGTGACTTCGGGCCTAGGTGGGGTCACCTGTCCTCACCTCCTCCAGCTGCAAATGGCAGGAGGGGATCCAGAAGATCTCTTCTTATTTCCGATAGCTATTGTTGCCTTGGGGAAAAGTCACTTGAGTTGGCTATTCTGGAATCTCCGTCCCAGCAAAGTGCTTTAAAAACTGAGCTAAACCAAGGAGAGGGTTTGTTGGCAGAGTAGCTAAATTGCAGCTAGGAAGCCAAATCATGTGCAATACTGACTCTTTCCTTTAAATTAAACAGTGTCCACTTGTTAAAATACACAAAAGCTTTTACTTGCAGAGCATATAGCTAAAGAAGAATATATGCAAAGTATTCACATTCTCATGCTTATCCAAGCATGGGTTTAGTTTTTCTTAGTTGAAGATTGCAGCTTCTTCCTCAAACAGTCAAACAAACTGTGTTTCTTTCTTCCTTTCCAGTGTTTGCTCTCAAGCTAAGCCATGCAGTTCTTTCTGAGAGGCTTCCATTTTCTCCTTCCAGCAGACTTCTCCTTACTGCTTCTTTGGGAGAACATCAACTTCTGTACTTCTTTCTGTCACATACATTCACACATTAGCAAGCCTCTCGCCTTTACTGTGTTTAGAGAAGAATTATCTAACACGGGTCTCTCCTTCAGTGTTCACAGAGATGCAGCCAAGTCTGTCGTGCAGAAACTAAGGCGGAGAATGTAATAAGATGCCTCTCATGTGACACGGGAGTTACTGGGGAACATTCCAGAATTAAGCACACATTGATGCATTTATTCATTCCCCAATTTCAGTAAATTGAATCGCTATACTTAACAGGGTTTGCTAAGCAGGAAGATTCTATGCAAGACAGAGTTGTTCCGCCTGGCCTTCGGCTTGGAATCAATTTGATTCCCTCCCCCTCTTCTTTTTTCCTTTCCCCTCCTGTGATGGAACTCGTATTTGGGGACTTCCCTGGCTTTTTCTGGTCCGTGTAGGACCAGTTTGGAAAGTTAGCCATGCTGAAGACTTGACATTTTCATCCCCTAAAAAGTTTTTTATTTGAGTTTCCATTTAATGAGGCTGTATTTTAATATTTTAATGTTGTATTTTAATCTTGTTTTAAAGTTGTATTTCAATCAGTTTGTTTTATATCGGGTGTTAGCCGCCCTGAGCCCGGTCTTGGCTGGGGTATAGATACAATTTATTTTATTAATTAATTAATTAATTAATTAATTATCATGGGTAAGCAAACTAAGACCCGGGGGCCAGATCTGGCCCAATCATCTTCTAAATCCGGCCTGCAGACGGTCCGGGAATCAGCATGTTTTTACAGGAGTAGAATGTGTCCTTTTATTTAAAATGCATTTCTGGGTTGTTTGTGGGGCATAGGAATTCGTTCATCCCCCCCCCCCACCAGAAAAAAAACACATAGTCCGGCCCCCCACAAGGTCTGAGGGACAGTGGACCGGCCCCCTGCTGAAAAAGTTTGCTGACCCCTGATCTATTCCATGTTTTGTGGAGGAGGTCTGTGACTGTTCTCAGATGCCCCCGAGTAGCTTTGATTTCCTTGTTCTGGTTGCAGATGGCTCCTTGACCGGTTCGGAAGACAGGAATAGCCTGAGCAACTTGGAGCGTATCACCGTGCCGGACCTGTTTGAGGACTACAACCTGGGCCAAGACTTCTCTTCCTACAACGGCCCCACCTTGAGCGATATCCTGCTGCCAGCTGCTATGGACTTCCCAGATTCCGCAGAACAGGAGTTCCTGCTGGATGCTTATTCCATCCACTCTGGCATCTCGGCCCCCTTTCCGTTCCCTGTGGATTGTGACCCAGAGGGCACGGCCAGTTTGGTGGGGAGCAGCATGTTCCCCAGCCAGTACAAGGAGGCCGAAGCGCGACTGGAGATGGAGACCAAGCTCAAGTCAACAGACAGCGCTGCAACCTTGTGAAGGAGCGTGGGCCCACCGTGGCCTGGGAGGGAAGGGGCCTCGCTCTCCATTTTGAATCTTACCAGTAGCAGAGAGATCCCTGGGCAAAGCAAACGGGGATGTTTTCCCTACTGGCAAACTGAAGAGGGGGAAATTACATTGATCTCTATCGGGGATCCTTGACAGGCGTCCCTTAGGGAGATAAGACATGGCGTGAATGGAAGGAAGGAAGATTGCACTAATAACTGAATTGCAGGGGAGGGAAGTGCCCTCAGTGTTAGTCCCCTGCTTTGGCTTCCTAGTTTCTCTTCCTCAGTTTTCCCCATCTGTAAAATCGGGTCAACAACACTGACTTGTTGTGCTAGGGCAAAAACGTCAGACTAGCAAATGTAGTCTTGTTAGTTTCATGGGTGTACCCCTAAGGCCTTTTCCTCTGCTTGAAGATTTATGCCGATCTGTCGTGGAACGTTTTGTACTTCGGATTCTTTTTTGCAAATCCACACACACTGCAATAGCTAATGGGCGGCCTTGTGTTTTGGAGTAGCTCAGGAGCTGATCTAACATAGATACGTAGCGGTATATTCCACAAGGACATGTCTTTCAATACATTTATGAAGTCATGAGACTTAGCTGTTGGTGTTGCCCTAACAGTGACACTCCTGGTTTTTCTCTCTAGCTGCTGCAGATACCTATCTAGAGGTGCCAAGGATTGAATGTGTGACTGCCCACATGCGATGAATGTACTTATTCTCTAATGCAGAATTACAAACTCTCCCTCTCATCTTCTCTGTGCAAAGCAAGCCTCTTGGGGCTGAAAGCTTGCACCACTTTTAAACTGTGCACTTGAGGCTGTCTGATACGGCTAGGTACAGAGACAACAGACAGCATTGCAAGCCAGGATATTGTCGGGTCGGAGGCTGTGCTTCTCTTCCCCCTGTATAGGCTACAACATGTCACTAGCATGGAAGTGCTATGTGGTACATCAAAATCTTTTTTAAATGTCCATGTCCACTAGGCAGGGGTGTTGTAGAGCTGAGGAAATGTGCTCACAGTAAAAAAACTGGTGAGCACCTAACATTGTTGTGCATTTCAGAATGTTTCTTGTAACTGCAGATCCTCGTACCCCTGCCTACTGGCCAGCCAGAATCTTGCTGAGCTCTTTCATGGTTGTTAAAGGTTTCTTAAGGTATTCCCCAAGCACTTGTCAAGCCTATCTGTCCAGCCTTGGGGCCTAGACATTTAGGGTGCTTCCAAACAAGGACTTAATGCTTTGAATGGGTCACCGAGATCTCGCAAACAGGTCGTTGGCAACCATTTTTGTTTTTCTCTTTAACTTCTTTGGGTTTTCCCTGCAAAGGGGAAATCCAGATTTAATGGAGGGGAGGGGAGAAAAAGGCTGGCGTTGTGATGACAGAAAAACAACAACGCATGTGTTAAGGAGCGAGTATTATAGGCCTTGACTTGACTCTAGCGTCCTGAGTGTAAATTTTTGACATCTGGAACCAGAAAACCACGGTGTGTTTTTCCTAAGGGGTTGCATTGTAACTAAATCCTAGTCAGAGTAGACCCACTGAAAATCAATGGGCCTAAGTTAGTCAAGTGTATTAATTTAAATGGGTCTTCTCCAGTGCTATTTTTCTAGAAAAAGAAGAGCTGGAACTCACCAATGAGCGCCTCCCTCGTTCTCTTAGAATGGTAATGGCGCCCTCCTGAGAGGTGCCAGAACTGAGTTCTGACCGAAAAAAAGCTCTGGTCTTCTCTAAGTGCAACTGACCTTGAATACCACCCAAGGTGACCTTGATATTGACATTGCAGGTCCTTAGCTGCTACCAGCAAAAGGGGTGTGACCTTTCTAAAAAAGCTCATCCTTGGAAACAGAATACAGTGGTGCCTCGCAAGACGAAAAGAATTCATTCCGCGAGTCTTTTCGTCTTGCGATGTTTTTCGTCTTGCGAAGCATGGTCCGTCGCAACTGCGCCTTTTCAAGCGGCTTTAAAAAAAAAGCGCAAGACGTTTTCGTCTTGCGAAGCAAGCCCATAGGGAAATTCGTCTAGCGAAGCAACGCAAAACCGAAAACCCTTTCGTCTAGCGAGTTTTTCGTCTAGCGAGTTTTTCGTCTTGCGGGGCACCACTGTAGATCCCTAGAAAGAGGACAGCACCATAGATAGCTTCCCCTTGCCTTTTTCTCCTTTTTGGCAATGAAACTGTTCCTAGGCACCATTCTGAATTTAGAAGACATCGCCACCTCCTCAGTACTGGCAAATGGTTTTTGTCACATTCTCCCTTCTTCAGGTTTCTTCCTGCTTCTTCCTTTAAAATCAAATGTTGCCTGAGGTTAAAGGTTGAAGTAGCTGAAAGGATTTTGATGTTGTTATAATAAGAAAAAAAACACAACCACTTGATTTCCAACCCCACGGTCATATAATCACTCTTAAAAAAAGCATTTCAAGGTGTGTAAGGAAAATAAATCTTCAAAAGCTGTCACAGAATCTGTAAACAGGCAGGGAGAATAATTTATACGTCTTGGGATGGTGGTAATGTTGGATGGGTCCTTTTGAACGAAGTACTGTACCTTCTCTGGGCTTACCTTTCAAATGTATGCATTATTACTGGCTTAATTTTAGCCCTATAACCTGTTTTCTGTGCCAAGGCTGAGCCCTGGAAAGATGTGAAGTATTAATAAAACAGGCACTGCTTCGGATTGTGTACGGGGCTTGTTTCCTTGTCAGTTGCTAACTTCCAACAACGCTGGATGCTCGCAGACTTGCCCTTTTCGGGTGGGATTCAGTTCCATATCAGCAAGTTTGGGTTGTGCAGTTAAAGCTGAGGTGGAGCTCTTGCACAGCAAGCGTACTTCCCCAGAGGACTGGACTTTTTGCCATAAGGAAAGTGAGAGTGAAACACAGTTGACAGCGTAGGATAACACTTGCTTTGACACAACTGTTTTCTAGCCTCCCCGGAGACAAACCCAGGTGAGTATTCAGTAAGCAAGTCATCTGGAAAAGCTGCTCCACACTTTTTGGCAGTTAGGGAGCAGAGATAGTGAGTCAAAGGAGGTGTCTTCCAAGGGCAAGTTTATTTCAGCCCTGGCACTTTTGAAGGACAGGTCAACCCCACCCCTTGGGCCTAGAATTATCCTTTTTAAAAAATTTATATTCTGATAATTGTATCTCGCCTTTCTTCAATTATGGAGCTCAAGGTGGAATTTCCAGGTATCTTGTTTATTTAATATATTTCTATCCCACCTTTCTCCCAAGTTGGGCTTCAAGGTGGTTTTTACAAAAGTTTAAAAACATCAGTTATAAAATACAGAATAATAAAAACAAAACTGATTAAAAACAGCAATGGCAATGCAGATCTGAAAACAGCAATTTAAATATAATTTACTTCAACAGGAGCCTAGTGATCAGCACCGTCTGCACCTTATTTTCCACAGGCTTGTCTGAGCAGGTAGATCTTGGCCTCCAACATAGTTGGAGCCAACCTAACCCCTCTTGGGAATGAGGGCTACCAACTACGATGGTTTCAAAACAAGATTAGACAAATTCATAGAGGAGAAGGCTATCAATGGCTACTAGCCGGGGGGGCGCTGTGCTGTACGTCCACTGTTGAAGGCAGCAATATTTCCAAATCCCAGTTGCTGGAAACAACAGGAGGGGAGAGTGCTCTTGCCCTCTGTTCCTGCTGCTTGAGGATCTTTCCCACAGACCCCCTGGTGGCCATTGTGGGAGCAGGATGTCGTTGGCTCAGTTGGTTAGAGCGTGGTGCTGGCAGCACCAAGATCCCCATATACGGGGCCACCTGCATATTCTTGCATTGCAGCGGGTTGGACTGGATGACCTTTGGGTGCCCCTTCCAACTAGGATTCTAGGACCAGATGAGGCCATTGGTTGATCCAGCAGGGCTCTTAACTTCTTGCGCTGCCGTTCAGGGGCTAAAGCTGGCTTTCCGCCCCTTCCTGCCTTTTCCCAATGCATGTTTGTGGATTATGGGATGGGATGGGGATCCGTTTTAAGACACAGACCCCCAACAGAGCTTTCACCTCCTCCTGCGCCTGCGCGGGCGCTTCCTTGCGATGCTTTCCCACCTACTGACCAGCAGAGGGGGATGTTCCTAGAGAACGGAAGGCGGGAGGGCTGAGGAGCGCTGTGATTGGCCGGCGCCGCCACCGGTCACGCGACTCACTCCGGACGAATGGGGGCTTCGGCCAGGAAGGTATGCGCTCTGTCCCCTCGCGTTCCCAACGCTCTATGGCTCTGGGGTGCTTCCGGTTCCGGAGTGGGAGCTGCGACTTTTGGGGCGGGTGAGGAATGGCCTCTCCTGTCCTCTAATCTGCGAGCTGGCCGGGGCTGGTGGCTGAGGGGGCTGTTTTGACAGGGGAGCCCTGCACTCTCGCTCGCTCGCTCGCTCTCAGGTGAATGGGGCCTGGTCGCTTGTGGGGAGGAGGGAGGAGCAGCCTGAGGGAGGGCGCTGTCCTGTGGGAGCCCCTTTGGCCTCAGGCAAAGAGGATGCAAGATAAGAGAGGCGTCTTGATATTGCATAGATAGGTCTATTAACATAACATAAATGCGTGGTTGCTGGGAGGGGGGGGGCTTTTTTGACACGTCAGCCCTGCTCCCTCCCTCCCTCTCATAATCTATTAATATGTTAATCTAATCTATTAGTAGTATACAGTGGTACCTCGGGTTAAGTACCTAATTCGTTCCAGAGGTCCGTTCTTAACCTGAAACTGTTCTTAACCTGAAGCACCACTTTAGCTAATGGGGCCCCCTTCTGCTGCCGCTGCGCCACAACAGCACAATTTCTGTTCTCATCCTGAAGCAAAGTTCTTAACCTGAAGCACTATTTATGGGTTAGCGGAGTCTGTAACCTGAAGCGTATGTAACCTGAGGTACCACTGTATATTCATATATTAGTAATATATACTATAATCCATATATGGGAATTATTGGGGTGGACCATCTCATTCTTCCCCTTTCTACTATATTACTTCACCCCAGTAATTCCCACATATTGATTATATATATTTATATTAATATCTATATCTATCTATCTATCTATCTATAGTGGTACCTAATGGACCACTAATGGACCTAAGTTAGTCATATCCATTAATTTCAGTGGTTCTACTCTGAGTATGGCTAACATTGGCACCAACCCTGTGTGCAAATTGCTGAAGGACATTTTGGTATTAAGCAATAAATCTATGATAAATAGTAAAAAATCAAGGGGATATTTCTGAAATTTTCAGCAGCCACACCCAACGGTGTACCTAGCTATATGTATAGCCGAGAATGTAACATTAAAGTTCTTTATCTATAGATGGCTGCCTTAGAATCTTGTTCATAATGTTACATACTATGTGGAATAATCCTAGATGTGCTGTTTGCCAGGTTTGTGCCACAGTATCATATTTTATTTTTATGTGGCTGTCTTTTTGTCTTCCTTCCCGCCAAGTGTGTTAGCATCATATTTTTGTGTAATGATGATTTTTAATTTAGTTATGCTTATGGTCACTTGCTAACTATTCCAGCATCACTGATTTCCTGAGAGTTCTTTTCATCCCACATCCTTCACTGTGGCTGTTTTGACTCCATAAGTTAAGGCTTATTTCGCTTTCCTGAATGGGACCTATTGCTCCCTTTCTGTCTTTTCAGCTTTTTAAAGGAGTAAATAGAGATAAGACTCCTCTGAAAATGGCAAGCTGTGGCTCAGCTTCCAGAGAGGTAGCCATGGTTTAATCTGTTGCAGCAGAAGCAATGAGATCTGTTAGAAATGTAAAAGACTTGCAGGTGTTGTGGCATCAGCTTTCATGGGCTAGAGTTCATCAGATCAGGTGCTTGTCATGATGTGGACTCTGACCCAGGAAAGCTTATGCTTTAATAAAAGTGTTGGTCTCTAAGGTGCCACAAGATTCTTTATTGTTCAAGCAACTGCTCAGTTTCCTAAAAGCGTCATGGTAGGGCTAGGACTTTCAGTGGTCTGTGGTGAATGAGGTTTCTCTTTTTTCAGGTGAGTCTGAATGGTGATGGGCTGCAGCTTGCATACAAAAGCTGTTTCAGTTTGTCAGCAGAATTCAAAAGGCACCCGTGCCTCTGCTGAATGCTGAGTGTGTGCTTCCATGTACATGTGCCCTCTTTGCAGGTAGCCAGGTGGCTTTTTAATTGTTTGAGAGCACCTTCTCCTTCACTTACTGAGCTGATTTCAAAAGTCCAAGCTAACAGTGTCCCCAAAAGGTGAGGCAGAGTGAACCTCTCCTACCCACAAGTTGGGAAGTGCAGAAAGATGGGAAGTGTGTTCGGCTTTTTGTCTTGAAAAACAGCCCTGATTCTCTGTGCATCGGCTAATTGCTTTGAGTTTTGGTGACAGCAGCATGAATAGAATAGCTTTGCAATGCTCTTGGAATACGGAATGGCAACTGGAGGTCCATGGGACCACACCTTGACCCTCCCTGTTCTACTTTGCCTCCTGATCGCTCGGGAGTACAGTAAAAAGGAGTATAGTAGCTGCAGCAATAGGACTGGAGTGAACCATTGGGAGAGAGTTTGAGGTAGGAATTTGATACTCCCCTTTCTGAAAGAGATGAACTAGTTGCTGACTAGGCAAATTAGCTTAGACTGTGCCAAATATTTTGAAGATGGAAGCTC